TAGCATTATCCCGAAGGCGCCTAGTCGCCGGAGCCAGGGGGGGGAAAGGCGCTCACGTTGCTTGCCGCCTTCGGGATACCGCTAGGTTGGGGAGTGGTGTTCTGCCTGGCTGGAGGGGGGAGTTGCCAAGCAGCTGCTCCCTTGCGAACTGGCTCCCGAAGAGCCGGGCACAGCCTCAGGGGCGAAGCAGCCATGAGGTGACCAAGCTCACGAGTAGCCGCCCGGTAAACTCCCTCTCCAGCCGGGCAGAGCACCAGTCACTGACCTAGGGAGTATCCCTAAGGCACCAAGCCACGTGGTGCTCTGCCCGCTTCCCAGCTTGGTACATTATGGATACCCCCTAGGTCAGTACATGGCGCTCTGCCTGGCCGGAGGAGGGAGTTGCCAGGCGGCTGCTCCCTTGCGAACTGGCTCCTGAAGAGCCGGGCACAGCCTCAGGGGCGAAGCAGCCATGAGGTGACCAAGCTCACGAGTAGCCGCCCGGTAAACTCCCTCTCCAGCCGGGCAGAGCGCCATTCACTGACCTAGGGGGTATCCATAATGTACCAAGCTGGGAAGCGGGCAGAGCACCACGTGGCTTGGTGCCTTAGGGATACTCCCTAGGTCAGTGACTGGTGCTCTGCCCGGCTGGAGAGGGAGTTTGCCGGGCGGTTACTTGTGAGCATGGTCACCTCATGGCTGCTTCGCCCCTGAGGCTGTGCCCGGCTCTTCGGGAGCCAGTTCACAAGGGAGCAGCTGCCTGGCAACTCCCTCCTCCGGCCAGGCAGAACACCACTCCCCAACCTTGTGGTATCCCGAAGGCACCAAGCAATGTGAGCGTCTTTCTCCCCCCTGTCTCCTGCTGTTTGGCGCCTTCAGGATACCGCTATGTCGGTGAGCCCGGGGGTGGGGTTGTTCAAGGGATTTATTTTCAGGGGTGGGCTTATATTTTTGCCCATGCAAAAAATGTGGCAAGGCTTTAGTTTATGGATAGGTCGTGTTTTGGGGGAAACACGGTAATTTTTAAATTATCATAAGGTTGCTTTTTTGCTACAACAGACTAAACTAGCCTTTTCCAAAAACATTTGTATGTTACCATTGTATTTGATGTGTTATAATAACTTTATCTGAATTAAGATGAAAAGTATATGTATATGTTACTGAGCGATCCTAAATGAAGTTAAAATGTTCGCTTTGTTAGATTGTTCCAGACTGAAAAGTTTGAAAGCTGTGTGTATCCTTTTTAAACTTCCAAGCAAACATTTATTTTCGGTAGGTATGTCAGGTCAAGGCTGGAATAGGCACTTTCAGGTGCCATCTATGGAGAGTGAGATTTGAATTAATTACTTGAACTCCGCCTTGGCCTTTTTATACAGTTCCATCGTTACCATGACAGGTGATGATTTCCAAAGCAGATGTATCACTCCAAGCAGCACTTCTCACCATCAGCAAATAGATGCTTTCACCAATTCTAATCATTCTCCCACACTCGACCCACCTTTTACCCATGGGCAGTTTAAGAAGTGTGAAATATAAATAAATATAAAAATGACCAGTTAATATTTTTAAGGCAAAACTTACACTGCATACATGCCAGAGAGAAAGGCATACCTTAAAAACTGAACAAAAGAAAATGCAGGATTAGATTGTCCCAAAGGTGCTTTTTTCAAGAGGCAACTGGACATTCTGGTTTTTCTTTGAAGCTGTTTCACTTCTCATCCAAGAAGCTTCTTTAGCTTCTTTAGTCCAGTTGCCTCTTGAAAAAAGCACCTTTGGAACAAGCATGACCTGGTTGAACTGAGAATCTTCATAGACATAGAGGATTAGATGAGTCTTTAGTTTGCTCAGAAAGGTTATATAAAGCAGTGTTTCTCAACCTTGGCAACTTGAAGATGTCTGGACTTCAACTCCCTGAATTCCCCAGCCAGCAAATGCTGGCTGGGGAATTCTGGGAGTTGAAGTCCAGACATCTTCAAGTTGCCAAGGTTGAGAAACACTGATATAAAGAACAAGCCTTGAGACATTCTGAGTCTTCTGACCACAGAAAATAATGGAAGTTGAAATTCCCTCCTAGGTCCCTTCTTTTTCATTTCAGATCATCAAGGTAGTGAGTTGCTATTTTCATACAACCTTGAGAAAAAGTGAGATGTCTTTTTCAGAACTAAATGAAAATATTTGTTAAAATTCATTGTTCCTTGCCTGGCTGTATATGGAGTAGAGACTGTAAAAAAAAGAATGCTTGAAATTGTTTATGAAAAACAGAAAAATACATTGTTCTAATATTTTACTGCATTTGTCAGGCGGTATTTTTCCTCAAAACCAACGGAGAATTTGTATTTTCAGCATGCATATTGAGCTCAGTATCAACAAGAAGGTGTGCAGAGTTCATTGGAAGCATATTATACACAGAAACCTAGTAGTCTTTTTCTATGCTTCATCATAGCCAAAAGGCCAAGGTGGCCATGGCGAACCGGAAAAGTGAGATGGTTGCAGCCAGCCAGATGTGGCAAGTTGTCCTATTCCATCTTCATTTAGCAACCACAATTGGGCTGGTAATTGGGTTTTGAGTGAAGTGGTTGTGAACTCACTACTTATCATCTTACTTCAACTGTCCTTTGCTTTTCAGAAAGTTGAAAATGCAGGAGTTGACTGTAAAATTACTTCTTCATGACTGTTGTAATCATGAACCGTTGCTAAACAAGATGGTTGCTAAATGAGGACCACCTGTATACATTGTTGGATGATGAGAATTCCTCAGTTCTAAAGCATTCTAAATCATGCATTGAGACTGCATGGATACAGAATCCATATTTGCAAAGATAAATGTTCCAAAAATGTTATGAACAATCAAGCAATCCTTATCCCTCACTATTTTCATTTCTCAGAATATTACAATGCAATTTCTGATCACTTATTAAAATATGTGTTCAGAAATGAAAATATTGCCAATGTGTATGTGTACTACACAAAAAGTGATGACTACAACATTTCATAATCCTAAAAAGGTCTGCTACGGCTTCCAAAAGAATGCACTAATACTATTGATTAGCTATGACCAGAAACTCAAATATTGTTTTTAGGACATAGAGAAATATAAATGCTGTTAACAGATTTTTTTTCCTCCCCTCCAATTTGTATTCTAACAGAGATCCAGCAAAATTGGAAGCATTTCTTCTCAAGCTTCAAATGCAAGTGAAAGTGCAATATTATCTAAAGAAAGTATTCAGGCAAGTCCTTTGAATCTAATATTTTGGACTCTTAATTTTTTATATCTTACTTATTTATATCTTCTGCATCCACTGTAGGTTTATTTACCGTATTTTTCGGAGTATAAGACGCACCGGAGTATAAGACGCACCAAGGTTTTGAAGAGGCAATTTTTGTAAAAAAGTAGATAGGTAGATAGAGGGAGAGATAGAGGGAGAGATAGAGGGAGAGAAAGAGAGAGAAATACAGTAGGTAGGTAGGGAGAGAGAGAGTGTGTGTGTGTAGGTAGGTAGGTAGGTAGGTAGGTAGGTAGGTAAAAGGATAGAGATAGAGAAATAGAGAGACATAAATACAGTAGATAGGTAGGGAGAGAGAGAGTGTGTGTGTGTAGGTAGGTAGGTAGGTAGGTAGGTAGGTAGATAAAAGGATAGAGATAGAGAAATAGAGAGACATAAATACAGTAGATAGGTAGGGAGAGAGAGAGAGTGTGTGTAGGTAGGTAGAGGGATAGAGAGAGAAAAATAGAGAGAGATAGAAATACAGTAAATGGGTAGGTGTTTCTGCTGGCACAGCACTTGATCAATGTAATTCTCATCAATCAAAGAGCTTTCC